GGTGCCACTGACTGGGCAGGATACGCTAACTTTTTCGCGAATACCTAGTATCATCACTATTCTATAGTTATTCATAAACACATGCTCATGATATAGTCGGAATCGAGCAATGGAATTTCCGCTCGGATTGGCAAAGTCAAAACAAGGGAATTTGGCCAAGTTTAACTTATGCTTCCGGTACACCGATGATCTGACATCGTTCAATGATAGTCAAATAGGTAATTCCTTTCCACTGATTTACCAACCTGAACAAGAAAAAGAAGAGACGAATGAAACCACTTCAGCTGTTTCATAATGCATAATTTGACAAAAAGTTGGTTGGTTTGTTTGTTATTTAACGCCGCACTCAGTAATATTCCAGCTATATGACGACGAACTGTAAATAATCGCGTCTGGAACAGACAATCCAGTGATTGATATCCTGAACATCGATCCGCACAATTGGGTTCCACACAACCCCTTACGACAAGTATAGTCGCCTTTCACGGCAAGCTGGTTGCTAAAGACCTAATCTATCCCGGATCTGTTACAACATTGAACAACTGAGTTGCCTGATGAAACGGATGCCACCGATGGGGAAGGGCGCGCTCATTTTTTAAGGGAACACCTGCTACCATCACCATGGTTTTACATTGATTCATTAACAATAACGATACTGTCGGAATTGCACAATGGGCTTGGCTTTCAGCAGCGATTTCTGGTAATTATGGAAATGGTTTTGTGGCTTTTATGGTTTTTTTTATAATGGAAAATGTTTTGTCACTTCCCTTATATACATAATTGTTAGGTGTTGTTTGGTACCTTTAACCTCTCTTCATCACAGACTTGAGAATATTCGACATTATCTCAATTTAAGCCTAAACTTCTTACATCATTTATATGCAAGTGCAGTGTGTTTCAACATGACGTGGCCATAGTGGCAAAATCCTTCAAGGCCATCGCCAAAGTGTCAAAGTGTCACCAAACCTTAACATGAGTGTTTCAGGCCCTTGTCGAGATGTAGATGAATTTTTAACCTCTCTGATGTATGCAATTGTTGTTACTGTTAATCCTCCACCTACTATATTTGTTCTATGTCATGTTCATTATTCAGCATCCTCGGAATAAGGATCTATACTGAAACATCGCCTTTACAGTTAATAAGGTATTTATTATCCATTAATTGTCTCTACGTTGAGATGTAAGATATCATGCAGCTGATGTAAAGATTGTTAACGGTATCATGTATGCATACTGTTTTATGCATGAATGCATCACTATTCATCCCCATGGGTATTTGGTGTTGGCGTATGTCCCCAGGAGACCAGGCTTGTCCTAAAATAGCTTTTGTTAAGCTCTTAATCACAATGCAGTACTGGCTATATATATATATATATATATATATATATATATATATATATATATATATATATATATATTATATGAAGTGAAATGGGGTTTAACGCCGCGTTCACGATTGTTGCAGGTTTATATGCACGTGTTCGTGCTTTTGTGTGTGTGTGTGTGTGTGTGTGTGTGTGTGTGTGTGTGTGTGTGTGTGTGTGTGTGTGTGTGTGTGCCGCAGTTTAACATTAATACCCCACTGAGACACAGTAAACTAACTCCAAGCCGCCCAGTCCTTGTTTCATTCCCTTAATGCCGAGAACCAGGCAGGGTAACAACAAATACCATCTTAAAACGTCTATTGATATGACGCTGCCGGGGATCGAACCTCAGACCTCCCGCTCTACCACTAGACCACGGAGGCGGTAAATGGCTATACAGAAAATTGCAAGTAGTCTTTCTCAGATCGCTCAATTGATGTTGATACTGGTGATCATTATCACTGGATTCGATTCGTTTGAGGAAAAGGTCCAAACCTTTGGCCGAATTACTGGATCAGTTGGTAAGACAAGGTGACAGCGTGGGACATTGTTCATTATATCAGTCACTGGGTTGTCTGGTCCAGGCTCGATTATTTACAGGCCATATTGCTAGAATATCGCTGATTGCGGCGTTAACCTGAAACGCTGAAATATCTTGGTAAAACTTGGCGTCAAGCCCAAAGTCGCTGTGGCAATGCGATTATATTCACATAAACATGCATCGGGACCGTTCATGGCGCTGAAAACCCCCAAATACATCACGATAAAACACATGTTGTATACAAGTGATTTTTTTTATTATACTCCCAGAATTTATTAACATGTTTCGATAATTCAGTGTGGCATTTCAGTCTAAAACATAACGCTTATGGTTAATAAACACTTAATCCTGTCTCCAATTTGCATAATTCTAAATAATATACAACTACGTCAATTATTTTGAGATGCCAACGATTTTTGTCATTTCAGTCAGAACTAGGGCATACTATATCGTCATAGTAACAATGATAAAGTCTACAGAATGCCACATCTCACGTGCGTAAGTTAACGGTAAATCAGTAAATATCTAACAAACAACCAACGTCAACAACACAATAATATCCGTTATATAATGTACATGGTGCATGTACAGGTGTCAAGCAACAGACTACCTCAGATATGACAGATGCAACACAGGTGCAATAACTCGGATGAAGTTGGATGAGGACTAAGCATGAGCAACACCTGGTGTCATCACTGATTTTCAGCGACCCATCCATATAGAGAATCTCACCCGAGTGTCTTTTGATATCAAATATATCAACACGAGTTGATAAAAGTGGAAAACATTTTTTGCCACTTTTATCAACGAGTGTTGATATATTTGATATCAAAAGACACTCGGGCGACATTGTATTTATCATCCAACATCATTCTTCCAGCTTTTTCAATTTGTAGACAGTAATTAGCAGTGTCTTCAGTGTAAAAAGTACTGCTAACAGCTTCAGTAGCACAGCCATTAATGATGTCATTTTATTGTGACGTCATGGTAACCAGTGACGTCACAATGGTCTGCAAAGCATTGTGATGTAATTTCATTGCAGCAATATCTACAGTGTAGATATCGCTTGATCTAATCCAAGCAATATCTCCCGTGGGAGCCAGTTTTGGATGATAAATAATGTTCACCGCTATTTTGCTTTGGAATCTGTTTCGGTGGATAATCACGACCGGTTGTTCCCTGGGGTTGACTTTTCCCATTTGCAGTAATGCTCGTCATTACAAATCTATTGTAATTGTGTTATCGTCACGCCGGTAACCTTTTGTAATACCATGATACTAATTAGGGATCCATATCGACAGATTCTTTCATTTTGATATCCAACGAAAAGCATTTCTCCCTCCTTGAATATCCAGTGTATTATCATACATCCATTCTGTTATGAGAAATTACCCAATCATAACTTCATTGTGAGCCCATGCGAGTGACAGGGCCCAACAAAGAATCTAATGAGATTGCACTCACGAAGGACTGAAAAACTTTCAAAGTTAGAATTAAATGAAATAATAATGGTGACGAAGCTTATGGTCCATGCAGGAAGCAAAGGTACTGTAAGTCCCCATGGTCCCCAGTATGGTGGCCCAGCTTCAGCTGCTGGCGATCTATAGCCCGTTTTTCCGGGTTCGATTCCCGACATGGGTACAATATGTGAAGCCCATTTCTGGTGTCCCCCGCCGTGATATTGCTGGAATATTGCTAAAGGCGGCGTCAAACCATACTCACTCACTCACTCACTCTAGTTATTTTACTGTCCTTCGCTGACGGGGTTTTATATAAGTTTCAATATATGTATTATGTTTAACTCTTGATAGTCACGATATGGCTGAAATATTGCCGATGTGACTTAAAACTTTAACTCACTACGAAGTTTACGTGGCAAATGGATCCATAGAACTTGTTAACCAAGAATTATATATAACACTGATTATTTCATTTCTTCCAAAAGCAGATAGAACATGTGACAGGTACTTGTATGTCATCAGCTGAGTTTCTCGAATTTACCGGTATCCAATTTTTTAGATGTCGGTATATTCAAGATTGACCCAGAATTCCGTCTCCGTATAGATTAATTGGTCAATAAAATACTTCTAGCTGTCGAAGCATAAAGCTGTTAAACATATGGGAACTTCTTGTGTGAAGTGGGTTACCACTGTCCGTCGTGAAGTGAAACTACGCTGTACAAGGACGGATAAGAATATTGGGTTTGGGCAAGTTGAATAAATCCAACCTCGCCCCCGTTTACAAGAATTACCATATGCAATTTACTCAAAGTAGCGTTTCCGATTTCCAAATGCCTTCATGCAGCATTGGACTGATTGCGTTGTTGTATGTAAGTTCTGCTACTTCCCTTCTTTCTTCAGAAAAAGAACCATTTACAAATACCGATTCCGGCACAATAATCAATTTTGCACTAGTGTACACGTTGGAATATGGCGTAAAGTCTAACCTTTGAAAACAAAGGTCGCTCCACTGAAGCAAAATATGTGATCATCCTGATGCATCAGAAACATGCATCAGAAACATGCACCGACCATCTACATCCCAACACTGCATGTTCCTACGCCCGTGCACCCAAGAACCCATCTCCATATCACCCCATCTAAACGCCTTAACGCTACACACACACCCATGTCCACACCCGATTAACACTCTACGCCAGTAGGGTCCAGCACTCAACGCTCTGTAAGTCTATGGATCGCAGCTCAAACAAAGGCACACAATCTAAAAGATATTCTAAAAGTGTTCAGTGTGTCACATAAGAAAGCAAACTAAATAGGAAAACGCACACGATTTGCAAATGTGGATCTGTATGCATACGTGTAAAACTATAGTTAACAATCTCCAAACAGTAGCTTACACATCGCTGTGGTAAACATATGACATGACGTTGGCCACATTTACAATTAACCCTTCAACTTCCGTCTTGTGAGATGTGAAGACGTCAAAGTCAATTCTGTTTCTTTTCAGGTACATCCGTCTCATGTGATGTGAAGACGTCAAAGTCAATTCTGTTCTTTTCAGGTACATCCGTCTCATGTGATGTGAAGACGTTAAAGTCAGTTCTGTTTCTTTTCAGGTGGTTTCTTCATACTTTGTTTATTTTTAAATAAACTATTATCGCCAAAATCCACATCGTGACCGCGATATTGTTCCCGATAAGATATTATGCACCGGATAGGTATTGTCAATTGGTACAATCATTCAATCTCATTAAAATCAGATCTTAGTTATCGCTACCGCTAAACAAAGATCTGAGGACATCCCGGTAGGGGTCAGGTCAGAACGACCTTTCATCCGACCAATCAGAGCGTCGCTTACCAGATCATGAAAGTGATAGTCGGAATGTAATTTCTAATCATTCATCCTCGAAATTCTTTTACACGGGGTATTCCGAACGATAGTTACGGGGTTAACGACTGAATCCATACAATCTAGACCATCTATTAGCCAGGTGTTGTTCAGGTTTCAAATTTTTCATTGAGAATTTGTCAAAATATGTTGCGAAGCGTAGTCGCCAATTTGAAATTAGTGCCGTAAAGCACGAGTAAGCTGCCTTCCGATTGGCTAACGTCGACTTCTTGTCAGTCATTCCATTGGTCGATCAAAGTTCGCGCAAGGTCGGTCTGATATGACCCGTAATGGGATGTCCTCAAATCTTTGTTTAGCGGTAGCGAGAACTAATATCTGATTTTAATGAGATTGTACAATCATTTGAACTGTTGTAAAATTAAATACAAGTACTCGAAATATAAAATAAATGAATGCACTGTGTACGGGAGGTGGATAAGTGAAACCCCAGATTCTTATGACGGAGGTCGTGCCATTTCAGTGAAACCCCAGATTCTTATGACGGAGGTCGTACCATTTCAGTGAAACTCCAGATTCTTATAACAGAGGTCGTACCATCTCAGTGAAACTCCAGATTCTTATAACGGAGGTCGTACCATTTCAGTGAAACTCCAGATTCTTATAACGGAGGTCATACCATTTCAGTGAAACCCCAGATTCTTATAACGGAGGTCGTACCATTTCAGTGAAACTCCAGATTCTTATTCGTAGGTTTATTCTCATGACATGTTTCTTTAGTGACCTCCCCAGGTGCGGATATGATGCTACCGAAATAAAGAAAATTCTGGGCGAATCTAGTATTCGAAAACATGTTTAGTTAATCCTGGCACTATCAAGGGCAGAAACTCCGTAATCAAACCTATGTCCCCTAAGACCACTGGGCTACTTATTGTTTGGGCTACTCTTTGTAGATAACATATCATAATAACTAATATAAATTAATATATTTCGATCAACGTATGTTACCTATTGGACCAACTTTAATCCACATCTCGCCAATACCTGTAAAGATCAGTGTATTTAATATTCAGACGATGGTTCGCATTAGTGCTATATACAACCCGTAAATCCATCTCACCGCATAATCAAAGGAAAATATATAGATCTTGACTGCTTCCGCTTTCTATATACATATGTAGAAATATTAACAACAAACGTATATTAAAATGCTTATCAATGTTTGATATCACATCCTGCATGATAGATAATTCATGATGCTAAAACATGATATTCATTTTAAGTCGCACACTTAATGATATTTGTCAAAGAAATAAAACACCATTTCAAAAAAGGTTGAGACTGGGATTGAGAATCAGAAGTTGCTTTTCCGTGCCATTAAAGGAAGCAACTTACATTAACATAAATGTTGATACATTCCGAAGTATTATAAAAATGGTTTTGAAGAAAACCCAGGGGGAAGTTGCACGCAGTCTCAACCTACTTTGGTCATGTATTAAATGTACCATTCACGCATAGCTCTGTTTTGGACCTCCTTGAAGATTGACGTGGACAGTTGTAGGGGGCGGTAAGTCCTTTCCACCACCTGTGGCGCATTGTAGATTGTACATCATAATTTTCAAATCCCGTAGCATTGAGGTACAGTCCAACAGTACAAGCCCGCCCAGGGTGACAGTGATCATTGTTATGCCAAAGTAACCCATGGTTTGTGAGGAGGGTCGGTCGTCGGCCGCGCTGGTCTTCTTTCGGATAGTTGCAGAAAGATTTTTTGTGGGTACGGTCAGTTTCTCTTTTGTCTCTTCCAAGATCTCTTCCAACTGTTCTGGCGTCGGGTTGGACGTTACATTGCCGCAGATGCATTCTTCGCCGTCTTTGCAGTCGGTGAACTTTTCAACTGCGGAAGAGAGACGTTAAAACTTCACCTATTGCAGGAGACCTTTGTAGCCTGTTTCTGCGTGCAATTCCTCCCCAGGTAAACTTCGAGTTATCAACTCCTTTCATCATCATTACATCATATTCTGCTGCTGGACCTAACAAAAGGCTGAACTGACTGGGCAGGATAATTGGCAGGTTTGGGGCAAATTTATAATGAAATCCATTTTACTAAATTTACGAACAGAAAGGGCGCCGGTTCCAAGAAATGACCTTTGTCTTACGACTTCAGTAAGCCTTGCGACAATCAAGTCACTAAGATCCCTTTCTGAAACGGTGCCCTAGATGTTGTCCCTCAAATTATCTTAGCGCTAAGACAATCGTACGTCTCGTACCCTAACGCGGTTTTACGAAGATGAAGGGATAAGATCGTATTGGTGGACGAAGCCCTTGTCATTAAAATGTGACTGCGTTACAAGAGCACGAAGCACAGATAATATACCTGATGACAAGTACAGTTATAACCAACCGTTCTGTAAGGCACATACAGTAAGCCACAAAGTGGATAATAAACGAGTAAATAGTAGAGAATCCGTTTCTTTTCGAAAGCATTCTTTGGGCACCATCACTAATTTATGCATATCGTGATATGCGTATGTCCATCAGACATGTTACTACAAAATATTGACAGCTTTTGCAAAGTAATTATTATTTAAAACCATATTAACACCAAGTGCACAAATATACACACAAAGGCATACAACATACATAATACAACATGCAAATGGAAATATAATCTTCTCCCAGAATCAGTTTTCAGAATGCCAAATCAAATTTTTGGGACATTTTAGAGTAACTTACATAAGAAATCAGTACTTTACCTTGAATATGTACTGGGGTGATTTATTTCTGTTGCGGACATTACCTTAGAGGTTTACGGTGTACTGATGTCAAAATAGTTTTAAAACCACCCCGTCCCTACTAACGAGGTACCACTGTACTTCATCCAAATACATTATTATAAAAGCAACCAATCTCTATTTTATTTGCATTGCCTGGTACTGCTTAGTAATTTCCCTTTAGGACATAGCGTTAAACTGTGGGGAGAGTTATGTCCCGTTAAGGCATCACCTTACAGATGTACTAATGAGAGTTGTGTCCCTTTAGAATAATAGGTGAAATGTGTACTGGGGAGAGTTATGTCCCTTTAGAACAAAACCTTAAATGGACTTTAGGAGAGTTATGTCCCTTTAGGACATCACCTTGAAGGTGTACCGAGGCCCAGGCTTAATGTCGTCTCCAACTATACCTTCAATACAGTACTTAGTGTACAGGTTCACGCTGGTGCCAGCTTGGATGTTGATGAGGACGGGTTTGCCTTCACTGATGACGAGCGTGCAGCTGGTTGCGCCCAGGTTGCTGTCATATTGGTACAGCCAACACTCATACTGGCTGCTGTAAGTTTCACACTGAGATTTGCATTGGTCGTGGGTCTTGTTCGAGATCAACAGAACAGGTAGGGTTGCACCGGAGGTTGGCGGGGTAACTGGAATAACAGTAAAACCATATATCAAACGACCTAGGTAAGTAAAATTATAATAAAAATTTATCAGGTCATGACATTATCTTTACTCTACCATGACTTATTACCCGTGAAGATTCCGGGGTAGAATAGGTCTTCAGCAACCCATGTTTGCCGTAAAAGGTGACTATGCTTGTCGTAAAAGGCGACTAACGTGATCGGGTGGTCAGGCTCGCTAACTTGGTTGATGCATGTCATCGATCCCAATTGAGTGGATCGATGCTCATGATATTAATCACTGGGTTGTCTGGTCCAGACTCGATTATTTACAGACCGCCGTCATATAGCTTGAAGATTGCTGAGTGCGGCGTTAAACAACAAACCAAACCAAACCAACCATGACTTATTCGATTTTAATCAGATCGCATCTAATATATGAACTAGAATTCCTCGGAGTGAGAGCAACACAGTGAGTGGGTTAGAGTTGAAAGCCGTTTAAAGGTATTTCAGTTACGGCATTAAAGCCCGTGCCGATGAAGGTCGCACACGTTCACCAACAAGCAAGGGTACCGCGCTGACTTGCTAATAATCACGATCAAACGAATGTACGCAATCTGCACTGGGAGTGGTGGCGCCTAAGTTTCTTGGGAGCCAATGCCCATGGTCTGTCGTGATACACAACCACTGGAGACTGTAGATTAAAGCACAGTTAATGTGTTTTCTAAATGATACCAAAGGACACAAAAATCATTAGAATATAAATTTAAAAAATGAATTCATGTTCTCGTCATTTTTTGCTCAGGTGAACAATTTACTTGCCTTTGCATGTGTTTGTGAAGGGTGCCACAGGTGGGATACGCTCACTCTGTTCGCGAACACGTGGTATCATCACTATTTTATAGTGATTCAAAAACACATGCTCATGATATAGTCGGAATCGTACAATCGACTCTGCGAGATTTTAAGGGGCCCGTGTAGATCCGGGGTAGAATAGGTCTTCAGCAACCCATGCTTGCCGTAAGAGGTGACTATGCTTGTCGTAAGAGGCGACTAACGGGATACGGTGGTCAGACTCGCAGACTTGGTTGATGCATGTCATCGTATCCCAATTTCGTGGATCGATGCCCATGATGTCAAGCACTGGATAGTCTGGTCCAGACTCGATTATTTACAGACCGCCGTCAAATAGCTAGACTATTTCTGAGTGCGGCGTTAAACAACAAACAAACAAACAAATCTTATGAATATGGAAAGGGTTGTCTCGCTTTTATTTTCATACAATATATACGGGAAATAAAAAAATGGCACTTACCTACAAGTGGCAGCATTGTTTCGTTCAGCATTTTTCCCTCGTGGGTTTTGAAGTCACATTTAGTTGCTGGGCAGATAGAAATATTAAACATATTAATTATCAAGTTGATTCAGCACCAACTAACCATTTGTGTTGGCGACAGAACCAAACAGAACATTTTCGCAGTCTTTTCTTGTGAACTCCCTTCTTGTGTTACTTGTGTTGTGTTGCCAAAAATGTGTTTTAAAGAAAAGGTGAAACAAGCGTCTTCGTGCTGTGACCCCTTTCAGCGAGGATGATACATGAATTCTTACACGAGTTTCAATATGACCCACAAGCGAGTGTAATAATTTAGTTATTTCTTAATCCTTTAAATTTCCAATTTAGAAAAATGCAATGATCAAGACTGTCGTCACAACTGTCGAATAATGTCAACAGCCATGACGTCGTGGCTAGCTTGACGTCATTCCAACCATACGTCACACTAATATTCGAATGACGTCAATGATGCCGCTGACTTGGTTGATGCTTGCCATCATATCCACATGCGTAGATCAATGTTCATGATATCAATCATTGGATTGTCACTCGATTATTAACAAACCGACGTCAAATAGCTTGAATATTGCTGAGTGCGGCGTTATACAACAAACATCATAGGTGAATGATATTGGTATTTACAAGGAATTTCGCAGATGAAAGGCGAGGGGACTTCGCAACCTTGAGGGACGTAGAAGGGTTCCTTGACATTCCACTGCACGCAATCCCACGTGATATTGTCCTTGAATTCAGGCCTCAAGGGGAATGCAGCGGTCATGTTCAAATCCAGATCGGTGCCACCAAGCCATTTCCAATCCTTATTCGCTTCTCTTTTCAGGCCGATCCAGAAGTAGTTGTCGTCCAAGAAGATGCTGAAAGGTTAAACATGATATAAACATACGTGGTAATGTCAATGTGTCATTATAAACATGACCCGTGTAGATCCGGGGTAGACTAGGTCTTCAGCAACCCATGCTTGCCGTAAAAGGCGACTATGCTTGTCGTAAAAGGCGACTAACGGGATCGGGTGGTCAGGCTCGCTGACTTGATTGATGCATGTCATCAATCCCAATTGAGTGGATGGATGCTTATGATATTAATCACTGGATTGTCTGGTCCAGACTCGATTATTTACAGACCGCCGTCATATAGCTGAAATATTGCTGAGTGCGGCGTTAAACAACAAACCAACCAACCCTTATAAACATGCACATTTCAAAACATTTTTCTTTCCGCAATAGTGCTTAAAGTCCCATTGAAATAATGCCAGTGCGACGTTAGATGTCACACTCACTCACTCACGCAATCAAATCAGGTGTTTAACATCAATCTGCAAAGCGAATTGTATTAGAAAACACTACAATACACCCAGTTAGAAATTCCCTACACCTTAGGAAATTAGTCTTTTTGTATACAGTTGTGAGTAAACGATACATTCTCTTTAGTAGAGATACTACTTATCAGTGATTGAATGTAAGTGAGTTGGGTTTAGCGCCGCTATTCACAATGTCCAGTTATATCACGGCGTGTCAGTTGAATGTGTTAGGAAAGGCCCAAATGATGGCGCACGGGTATGGTGTTGACACACCAAGAAACATAATCGGGGCGAACCGGGATTCGAACCGCGATTAAACATACGTACCTGCTCATGCCATACAGAAGTTCCCAGTCGTCAATGTCGATGTCCCCAGTCAACTTTCCGTTCTGTTCTGCACATTTGGCCACTGCGTTCGACCAGTTTGCAACACGTTGATCGCCAACATAATAGAGGTACTTCACAGGAGTTATTGCCCCATCTGAGGATAACAAGGGTCAAGTGTGGGTTGAGCTCCACTTTGAATAATATTTCAGCTTTAGCACACACTAACATTTAACTGTATTATGGTAGATTGTACGGTCTGTGTCACTAAGCCTCGCCGCGATCTAGTTGTTGTGTGATCGATGTTCACATCAAGAATCGTGGGTCGTAAATCTCGACGACCTGCATCACTTACGGCTTTCAAGTGTTACCTAGTTTCACTTGTCGCCGTTTTGACATAAGACTGCATTTCGGAAACGTTCTGAAAGGCCAGGTAGTCTCTAAGCAAATGTGACGTCACATACACATGTTGACAAGAGTAGCTTCGGATATGAGTGGAATACTATTCAAAATGGCGTTAAATAAACCTTTTTTAAGCTTTATATATACCTGGAGAAATATTAAACACTTATTTAGTTTTAATGTTGAAAAATCATTTTCAAAATTCGCATCCGGTATTCAATGTTTGACAAAATACATTGTTTGTGTTTACAGTGTGACATACTCAAACACAAACCAACTTCACAACAATGAAGAAGATGGACCAGTGTCGGGTCTGCAACAGGTGATGTGACCAAGAGGTTTATTTAGCTTCAGGTATATCGATGATATGATAGTGTTCAATAATGGACAAATAGTCAATTCCCTTCTATCTATGCTTGCAACAAAAGAAACCAGTAACACGGTTTCATCTGTTTCATATTTACATGCATAAAGTTTCAGTGACACACAACTATGCACCCTTGGTGTCAATACTTCCGTAGTGAAGTACGTATCTCTTTATACGATGATTTCAAAGATTCTACTTCTGTTTAAATTTGTATGATCAAGGTTACAACATTACATTCATTAGAACTGTTTACAAAAAGTATTATGGCAGACATGTCGAGGGAATTTTGTTAAAAATTAAAGCATCTGTGACTAAAATGTTTTTTTTCGATGCAATTCTAGATTTTGACTTGTAGCCTATGTTTCAATGTGTTTCAGATGAACAACTGACATGCATTTGCATGTGTCTCGACGGATGGAGCCCATTATACGATTTCGACTTTATCATTAGTATGTGTTTATGAATCAGTATCGAAAAGTGATTATACCAGGTGTTCGCGAAAAGGTGATCGCATCCTGCACCAGCAGTGACAACCGTTACAAAGCTGGGCAAAAACTTTGAAAAATGGAATTGTTGTGAGGATGTCATTTGTTGATACTGTAGTGTTGCCGGACACAAAGAAGCAATTTTTTGCTGATTCAATTTTAGCTTTTCTCATAAACTCTTATGCATGTTGTTATATGGCAGTGTATTTTATTGTAAACCAATGATTGTAACTGTATTGCATTGTTTCTGTTCAGATTCAGTAGAAGTTTTCATAGCATTGTGTTTGGACAATAATTAGTTCTCAGGAATGTAGTACTATTTAATGTAAGCAGTGGTGAGGAAATTACCATATTTAGATGCTAGTGTGATGTGTAAACTTCTGGAATAGCATGGATGGGTGTCAAGCATTATTGAAACGTGGAATATTCTGTGATGTTCTTGTGACACTAGACTGGTCTGGCACTGTGTGGAAAGCTCTGGAATCTTGTTGGACTATATAAGCTTCCCTGTCTCATCTCACATTTCATGACATCAAGACCAGCTTTCGTGTGAAGATCACCCAGGATTCCCAGCCTAGGCCCATATTGGAAGCTTGACCGCTGTCGCTACTGGATGACGTTATTATTATCACTGACTTGTTCTATCACTAATGTATTTGTATTTGATAGTGACCACTGCCATCATATTATATATTGCCAATGAATGTTGTACTACCACTATTGTTATTGGTGTGCAGTAATTTGTACTGATTTGTAAACCTAGTCAATTTTGTAATACATGTGTTGATTAATACCATTTATTGGTTGTTTGTTGGTTTCACACAAAATTCTTTTATGTACAGATTTCTTGGTTAACATATTGTTACATGTAACTTCTTTTTGACTACATGAAACGTTTTGTGGATAGCATCTTTATTGTTTGTAACGATGTTATAGGGCTACTTCTTTGTCCCCTTCTTCTAATGAATACTTAGTTAGCGTATTAAATAATACATAGATACATGCATGGGCGGGTACAGCTTTTTTTTAAAGGGTGTGTGTGTGTGTGTGTGTGTGTGTGTGTGTGTGTGTGTGTGTGTGTGTGTGTGTGTGTGTGTGTGCACAATTAAGATCTATTTATTGTCTTTGGTGGTAATTTATACAGAAATAAAGATTTTTTATCCGCCCATGACATGCTAATGTGTTTACACAGGATAGCAGTTTCATGTCTTAATTAAATTTCAACTGTTTGAATGACGTACAATTTCGCTGTCCTCGTGCTGAATTCCGGTAAAATATAGTGAGGCCATCGCAAAAGCATATCAAATCGCACAGGGGTTCGTTATTGACATTTTCATATGTCGCATCTCATATTGATTATAACATTGTTTCATATTCAAAAACACACACCATATTGACTTGGCGTAATAGCGTAATTTCAGAATAAACTAAATATTCCTAATATCAGCCGAAGTTTAGAAAAGAGGCCACAAGTTTTTGATGCAAAAGTAGTAAATATGAAACGTCGAGACCAGGGCCCACTTGCACATAGCGATCTTAGTGCTAAGATGATCTTAACTCCCATACTTTAACATAGGCTTACAATAGTCTTAGCGCTAAGATCGTTTTGTGCAAGTGGGCCCAGGAGAGTAACCACTCTAGAATATCCACCGAAACAGATTCCACTGAGCGTAAAAGGCAAATAAGTAGTGAAAAGTACATAAACTGATACCAGGTGTTCGCGAGAAGGCAAAGCATGTCTGTCCTGCCCTACAGGTAGCACCCGGTAAAAGAAAGAAGTGTTTGTTGCCTATATACAAACTGGTTTTCAGCTCTAGTTTTATTTCTGGTTATTTTTATGTAATTCAAATAAAGTGTCATTTAGGAGCATACATAGAGGGAATCACGTGTTATGGGATGGTAACAACCCTTGTCTTAGTTATATACATTGTAATTAGAGAGCCATGGCGAGCTATACGCTCGTATTCCTGATAAGCATATATTTAGTGAGCGTTTGCAAGCTATATACATTGTGTTTATTCCTAATACGAGATATGATATTTACCATCACCGAAGCGATAAACGTCTGAGACCTGCATCACTTCGGGCTTTCCTCCCACATTAAGCTGACACGCCGTGATATAACTTGAATACTGTTAAAAGCGGCGTAAAACCCAACTCACTCACTTACTCACTCACTCTGGACGTTAGTGGGTCGGACAGCGACAATGTTCAAAACAGTTCCAACTGAAACCTGTTTTCAGGCAGCGGCGTACCTTCATATTGACAAAACAATTGTCTTTACATTTTTTTTCTTCTGGCATTTTTTCGCGCTTTCCAATGGTCCGCCCGCTAGAACAATTGTCCTATATCAAAGGGGGCTACTCTTGTCTATAAGATATTACGTTTGTGTCTGACATATGAGTCAGACGTCTGAGTCTGCCTGGCCAGTCATGACGTCACGAAATGCAGCCAAGTGTCCAACCAGCGACAAAATGAAACAAGAAAATATTCGGCCCACTGTTTGAAATGAACAGAATATTATTGGAGCAAGACCTCATCACAAGCACAGACATGAAAACTTACCACGGTAAATTGTTTCAGAATTAATATCTCCAAAGTTGCCCTAGCATGTAACATGCCTCTAACATACGTCCCCTGTTCATTGACTTTCTGTATCTCAGACTATTGTTTTGATGAGGATAACAATCGTCCCAGTTATTTGTCAAGATCCCCGATAGTTAATTCTGACTTGGTTGCCCGCCATTGCCCACCTGAACTAAATAAGGAGACCAGTGAGACCGCCTCATCTGTTTCATATTTAGATCTAAGATTCAAAGTGACAAAACGCTCTCCAAGAGACAGTATGACAACAGGGATGACTTCAACTTTACAAAAGTCAGCTTTTCCTTCATGTCGAGCAATATTGCTGCAGCTCTAGCCTTTGGTGTTTACATTTAACTGCTTTTGAGATACAATCGAGCATGCTCTTTCACCAAGATTTCAAACAGCATCATACGACTCTTGCTCAGAAGTTGTTTTCTCAAGATTACAACATGCAAGGCCTCAGTAAAGCTTTCAAAACGTTTTATTGCAGACATGTGGAAGACATTTCCAAATGTGATGCATCAGTGACACAAATGATGTCTGATGCAATTCCCTGTTTCGACATGTACCGATTGGTCAAGCTTGTTTGACTTGTGCCAAAAGTTCCTGTGTTGTTCATGTGAATAACCTGTTGTCTTCACTATTTAACCTGGTGTCTTCACTATTTAACCTGGTGTCTTCACTATTGGTTAGTGGATTCCGGGGTAGAATAGGTCTTCAGCAACCCATACTTGCCGTAAAAGGCGACTATGCTTGTCGTAAAATTATAATAAAAATTTATCAGGTCATGACATTATCTTTGCTCTACCATGACTTATTACCCGTGAAGATTCCGGGGTAGAATAGGTCTTCAGCAACCCATGTTTGCCGTAAAAGGTGACTATGCTTGTCGTAAAAGGCGACTAACGGGATCGGGTGGTCAGGCTCGCTGACTTGGTTGATACATGTCATCGATCCCAATTGCGTGGATCGATGCTTATGGTGTCAATCACTGGATTGTCTGGTCCAGACTCGATTAGTTTACAAACCGCCGTCATATAGCTGGAATATTGCTGAGTGCGGCGTTAAACAACAAACAGACACACAAACTATTGGTTAGTGATTTATTAACACATGTTCATGATATAGTTGTAATAGTACAATTAACTGTGCTTAATGCGGAGATTGCTATTAGATACGGAAATGGTTTTGTCGCTTTATTTATTGCAAACACTGAAACCCACCTGACTTTTTATATTTGAATATGTAATCGTACATGAACCCCCAACGGATATCGTTTGTATCCCTTGGCTTTGTCTTGGCTCAAGAAACCTACACATTATATAAAAAATAATGTTTATCGACAATGTAACATTTCAGTCACCAGTAGCCCCCGTCTTCGTGAACTCTCAAAATTGTGAGACAGGTGAGAATGTTACGACGTCATGATATATTATTTTACAAATGGGTGTCAACTTCGCCAATGGATATCCACTTAAAATGAAGTTTATGATTAAGAAAACATAGATACGATACTATAAAGAAATAATATTCATAAGTTGTAAGAAAGTTCGGATGGCTTCCGGGACCAAATCCTTTTCATAACGCTTTAGGGGGCACGGGTGGCCCAGTCGTCTAAGGCGCCGCGATTCGCTGTGCAGAGTTGCGTCCCTTGGGCACGCCAGAAACCTATGATTGTGGGTTCGAATCCCGGTTCGCCTCGATTATGTTTCTAGGTTTGTCAGCACCATACCCGTGCTCGTGGGTTTCACCGAAGTGGTAAACGTCCGAGACCTGCATCACTTCGGGCTTTCCTCCCACATTAAGCTGACATGCCGCGATATAACTGGAATACTGTTAAAAACGGCGTTAAACCCAACTCACTCACTGACTCATAACGCTTTAAAACCTATCAAAGAGGCAGCCCACTCTCCCATTCGGTTTACAATTAAATGATATTTGCAAGTTAACTGATCAGTCAGTGATAGGGACACATCATATCATTTTTATTGTTGTTTATGCGGGTGGTTTCATTTTCCTGATAATATATAACTCACAAAGACAGAGTTTTGAAATGAGCACAATTGTTGCTCTTTGTGCGAATTATTCGGGAAAGCGCTTCAATAATTCATTTGTTTATTCAATTTCTATAATACAAATAGTCTTTGTTTAGGGCCAAATAAAATAGATCCAGGTTTCATTGACGAACGTTGCAAGGGTAATTCAGTTCGCCTTGTGTTATACCTTTATTTTAGACGTATATATGTCAGTGTTCAGGAGAGACAAATCAATAAAAGGACACTGTGCCACGCTGAATAAGATTAATAGAATAACATAGTAATGAGCACTCGCAGAAGAGATGTATCTATATTCATTAGACATTGAAACAACGACGTCGACACAGCAAGAACGTCTTGGGCAAACTGTGACGTCAATCATTAGCAAAGAAAAGATTCACCTTTCCGCGGAGTTAAAAAGGTCAAGGTGAGGTATAGGAAAAGAGGTATTTCTGTAATTATTGACAGGGCTGATGATAACATGCGAATATGTCCAGATCATGATTTTAGTGCCTCAAGCTTCAATGGCTCAGCGCCATAGTGTAATTGTTCGATTTATCATTATTTTTCCGCTGGCTTTTGTACTAACTGTAACTCAACAACCACGATTCTGTTCAAAAATAAAAACAGATATCAAGACTGATAAGTTTCGGGTCGTGGGTCAGATAATTCAAAATTATTTCAGATAGTTCAAAATTAATTCATTTAAAAAAGCGACCCAGTTTATCCATTTACTCCTCAACAGCTTATCCAATAACTGTTAGATTTGACTCGTTTTAGTCGTATCAGAAGCCTTTTGGGCCATAGCTCGTAGTTGTTGTTTGTTTGTTGTATAACGCCGCACTCGGCTATATTCCAGCTATTTGACGGCGGTCTGTAAATAATCGATTCTGGGCCATCATGTAAGGGTAAGATATATGGACGAACATCTTCTTTATTACAGTTAGGAGCGACGGTTGGGTGTAGGTATATTTTCTGAAAAGCCTAAGGTGATGCAGGTGCGACAGATTTACCAAATAAACCATCGAGAACAGGTATTTGCTGACAATAGTAGACGCTTAATCCTGTCAGGATTCGAACCCACGATCATAGGTTTCTGGCTCATTAAAGAGATGTAACTCAGCACGGCGAATCCTGGAACCTTAGGCGACTGGGCCTCTTGTGTCCCCGAGTGTCCCTAGTAAGGGAGTCTTACCTGTGACGGCAATAGACTCGAACATGAAGAATGCAGCAAACAGAGATAGGGCCAGCATCTGCAACAAGATACAGATTATAGGTAACTTTTCATATTGCATGTAAATATAAACGAAAGGTGGAGTTAAAGCGTGACTATGGATGCTCCGTGGTCTGGTTCTAATTTCAGTATGATGTTGTCAGTGTTCCCTTTTGAAACTAACACATGTGTCATTATGGTAAACTGTTAGAGTTATTTAAACCTGAACATTTGAATACACAGATCAACAAAATGGGTTCAAAACCAGCGAGAGCTGCCATTTGACCCTCTTTAACACTGGAATAAATTGTACTTTGTTCAAGTTTTGAGAGGATATGGAAGGAAGATTTAATCCAAACAAATTATGATTGAAGTGACAGATAAATAATTTTAAAGACTATATCATATATGGATTTCACTGGATTGCATTAGAATCTATCGGACTGCATAGATTATTTAACTTGAGCAGAATATAAAATATAATCTATAAGTAGATATACAGTATTGAATATATAATCAAATGTAGACAGATGTTGATACAAAGTTTATAAACTGCCGGGCAAAAGAAAGTATACTAAAAATGAAACGAACAAAAAATGATTATTCGATTTTAATATTTGATGCAAGTATCATAGTTGGGTTGTTGACCTTACGTTTGCAATGTTTCCGCGACCAGCAATTTAATTGCAAGTTTGATAAAGAATGTGTGTTGTCGCGTCTAACGATTTGAAAATAATGTAATATTTCAATGACAAGCATGACTCCACTGGACTGAAATGTTTAAGCAAAGTAAAATGTATATTCCATCACTGGTAACACTTAAATCGTAAGGACCCAGCTCAGAATAGTACTTGACACCATACCATTCTACTGCCGTTCGTAAGTGGCTGTGAATTTGGAACAAGTTATAAGACTCTCTGACTCTCAGAGGTATCTTTGCGCGTTCAGCCACTGGTTTGTCAGGCCCACTCTCGATTGTTTAAAGGAGGCGGTAATATAACTGGAATATTGTTGCGTTTTCAACACTCACTCACTAAGTCATAATTGTACCTGACAGTGTTCTTGCGATGGAAGCTAGAATACCGCCAAAAGATATAGAATGCGATAACATACACTATATGGTCCCTTATATGTAATGTGAATGACGACACTGTACAAGAGAGTATAACATAAAAAATCATAAAGAAATTATTTATGCCCACAGCATCAGCATTATAAATGTCAACTCCAGAGAATAATCAGCCTCGATTATCTGCAGAAACAGATTCCATGGAGCGTAAAAGGCCAAATAATGATGCAATATAAGAATGAATCACTGAAAGTCAGAGATGAACAGGTGTTTGTGAATACCAGACTTAAAATAGGCGTCAGGAGCATTATTGAGTCAGCAACATTTTCAGCGCAACAGAAAAAAACGATTCATTGCCAGTAGCCAGTTTCAAATAATGATAGAACCAATGGAAACCAAGGGACAGAAAAAGCTATATCTCCCGTTTGATTTTATCATATGTTTGATTTTCATTTGAACATAAGGGGCACGGGTGGCCCAGTCGTCTAAGGCGCCGCGATTCGCTGTGCAGAGTTCCGTCCCTTGGGCACGCCAGAAACCTATGACTGTGGGTTCAAATCCCGGTTCGCCCCGATTATGTTTCTAGGTTTGTCAGCACCATACCCGTGCTCGTGGGTTTCACCGAAGTGGTAAACGTCTGAGACCTGCATCACTTCGGGCTTTCCTCCCACATTAAGCTGACACGCCGCGATATAACTGTAATACTGTTAAAAACGGCATTAAACCCAACTCACTCACTCACTCACTCATTTGTACATATGTAAAGTAAGCGATATTATATCCAAAACATTAACTGCACTGGCGCTTTGTCAGCACTCAAAGAATACTGCTACATCGTTTTATACTTACTTTGTAAAATATAAGTTTCAATTAAACTTTTAAAACTTATAAAACTTTTATATTTTAAAAATATCGCATAATAAACCACTACTGGGCGGTATCTCAAACACCTTATTTCTGAAAATCAATAAATTTATTGTTTCGGCACAAATGTAGAAGATTTAAAATGTAGTGAGGGTCATGTGGTTGCAAATTCAATCTATCCCAATCTTCATTGAACCAATTATTTTTACACATTACCCAGCCACAGATTACATTTTACAAACTGTTGAAGGGATGGGCGATGCTTAAATAGACATGATCATATTTAAGAACAGTTCTTTCAATTTTCAGTTACATAAAACACATGGTATACTTTCTTTTATCCTCAGTTTAGGCAGAGACCATAAAATATTTTTTAGTCTATGGTTTAGGTTGTTCCTTGATTATGGCGTCTGAGGCATAAAACGGACATGATAACTGAAATACTGTTCAAAATGTTATCCGTCCCCGTGTATTTCTCGAACAATTGATTTGTCTTAGCATGACTTACCTGAGACATTATCCTCTGGCATAAAATATGAAAATTATCGTGTGACTTGTCACCAGGCGATTAGTGTTCATGGTTCAAACCCCACAGGTTTCAGGTACACAGTTATTGTCTTGCCTTTGCATGTGTTTGTGACGGTGCAACTGGTGGGGCAGGATACGTTCACCTTTCGCGAACACCTTGTTTCGTCCCTACTTGGCAGTGATTCATAAACACATCTTATGATATATGGACTCTTATGATTATGGAGAGGGTTTTTGTCGTAACTCACGCTCTACCAGAGTATATATCCATAGACGGATTATCATTTGCCTTCAACCTTCAACAACCCGTGCTTGTCGCAAGAGGCGACAAACGGGATCCGTGTGGTCAGGCTCGCTGACAATTGGTGCCTATGGGGGATGCCTACTCTTTGCCTACCCCCCCCCCCCCCCCCCCCATTTTACAACATGGATGTTATCAATGAAGAAGTCCAGCATTTCACATATGGTTTTCTCAGTAAACTTCAGATGGCATTTGCTTTCATTTTTCACAAATTGTCCAGAACCCCTGAATATAGATACGTAACTGTATCCGTGTTCACCACGGTTTGTAACGAAAGCCCCATGGATCAAGGAATAAAATGTTTCCTTCAGTTTGTCACGTGGGATAGTGGTATACAAAGTTGAAAAATAAGATGTTCCATGCTCATAAGAAATCTTTGCTAAAAACACAGTAGATTGTCCGATTCCGACTATGAACATGTGTATATGAGACACTGTCAGATAGTGATGATACCACGTGTCTGCGCCAATGGTTATGTATGCACAATTACATACCTTGTTTAAAAGCGATTTTACAAGTCGAAATGTATGTCGGCAAACTGCACCAAACTTTAGACATAGCCAATAGCATATCTTTTACTCTCTGACATCAACTATTTTCACGATTACCTTTGTCACGAAGGTAGTAAGTTACACAATTCAATTTATCACCGTCATACCCCTGGTCTCCACAACATTGAAACACACAGTTTTTGTTCTAAATGAAAACATTCTGTCGCTTCGGGTTACAAGGTACACTTCGTGTAAATGTAACAAAGTCCTGCTTAAATGCCATTGAAAATATGGCCACAAAAGGGACATTGTGCAGTGTTAACAAAAGTGTCCACTTTAAACGATCCAGCTCTTACTTTGCACAATGCATATTGGCTCGTGCAACATATGCTTACGATATAGTGGAAATCGTACAATGGACTCTGCTTTTAGCAGAGATTGCTTGTGATCGTGGAAACTGCATTTGTCGCTTTCATTAGTAAATGTGATATGCTTAAGTGACATCTTAGAAGTGGAACTGCCAATAAATAAGGAGGTTCAAATACTTAAGTTAACTCTTTCTTCCTTAAGAACTGTGAATTGACAAGTCAACTTTACCAAGCTCTTTCCACTCCTACATACAATGCCACTCTTACTGATTACTTCGCGTCAATGCGAACTCACGAAGAATATTTGTGTTAATAACGTATATATGTACCAGTGATTGTATTATTAATGTCCAAAAATATTATAATTCTTTCAATAACTATTAACTATTAAGTTACTATTGAGTAGTGTATTAATTGATTGATGTTTGCTATACATATAACAACAATTAAGAATGTTATATTGAATGTTATAACCATGATTAAAAATGTTATATAAAATGTTATTACCATAATTAATAATGTTATATTCAAAGTAATAACCACAATTATAATTGTATGTGATGACCATGTATTATCATCCTATACTCAATCTGTACTTAAGACATGAAATGACAAGCTAATTTTTCGTTCTGTATTTCATAAGAACCGCTTGCAGAGATACGTGGGACAGGGCTCACAACATTGGAGGTAGCTCACATCAGTGAACAATAAATACACCCAAATCTTTGTAAGGCATTTAGAAGTGATACACATAAGGCAGAGAACGTATATATGCACCTGTAACAACAACACAACTAATAAGATAACAAAGGTGGAAAGTTACCAAGAGGAGCCAACAGATAATTGGCGCTGATAGGTGATCAGCAATGGACAAAAACTACAAGAAGCCATTGACATCAGGAGACACCAGCCAGCCATGAACCGTGACCAGGAAACCTATCTGCCTAGTGCTTGGGATTTATTGCATTGCTCTTTGGCGGTACAAATTATCTAGCTGGCTTCCATTTGTCCATTGTCATTCCCCCCCATCCCCCGACCTCCATTGATAATCAGCGGAAATTATTTGTTGGCTCACCTTAAGTTTCCACCTTTGTTATCTTATTACTTTTGTTGTTCTTATGTAGGTGCAAATAGGTGAATATATACGTTCTCTTCCTCATGGCAATTATTCACCTGATAAAGGAGTAAACTCCGAAACGTTGTGTACCTCATAATAAAGAAGTTGCCATCCATATATTCTCTTCCTTAATATATACATTTACAAAGCATTTTTTTAATACTGGGATGGTTTGACTATTAAATAGTTCTTGCACTAGTTTAGTTCGGGAATGGGTAGAAGTATAAAGTTTTAAACATTGTGTTTCAGTATTTAAAGCTGAACATTGAAATAAATGTGGTATTCATCTCCAATGGATGAGT